ACTCTTGAAATGTGTTCAAAAGAATAGGTCTTATTAAGTAACTACTTAGAATTTTTGTGTTTGTATTGCAGGTGCCGAAAAGGTTATAATATCTTGTCGCAGCACATGTTTTCCTGCAGAAAGTGGTCGATGCTTGCTTACCTCCGATTTTAATTTGTAATTTGTGGTATTTCAACGTTTTCAACTTAACATGTCGTGTTTAAAAGTGGTCCGCAAAGTGCTTCATGAATATTACGCTGGTGTCTAAATTGTATGGCTTCTCCTGCCGGCAGAACTCTACCCACTTTCTGGCCAGGGCGTCGTCGCGGGGAAACAAAAAAAAACTGCATTTGGGGGCTTTACCCCTACGGCTGCTGCAATTCAACACACGACACGACATTTTTATAAAGTTTTTATTACAAATAAAACATTTTTTACTTCAGAACGCACGAATTACTTCGATTTTTCACTTGAAAGTACACAATACGTTTGCACTTGTTTCTAAACAAAAAGTTTGTTTACATATTGCCATAAATGTCAAAGTCGGCAAAACCAAAGTAGCGGTTTCGGGAATGCGCCACCTTCAGTTCATTTCACCATGATAGACATGGTATATGATTCATATTTGTGACATTCTTTACTTTGATGTTAAGTATTTCTGAGGAGCTCCGGGTAATGGTCACTAAAACTTGCGTGTGCTTAATGAACTGTCTGGGCGGATGCGCTGGCAGGCATTGGGGTCTGCAGCACCTAGGTTCAAACCCTGGTCAAAGCTACATGGAAAAAAAATACAGAAAAAAGGTTTTTTCTTAGCAGCGGTCGTCCCTCGGCAGGCAATGGCAAACCTCCGAGTGTATTTCTGCCATGAAAAACGGCTTCTCATAAAAATACAATCGCCCTTCGGAGTCGGCGTAATACTGTAGGTCCCTCCGCTTTGTGTGACAACATCAAGGCGCACACCACAAATCGGAGGAGAAGCTCGGCCAAACACTAACATATGTGTAAGCGCCAATCTATTATATTATTATTATATTCGGAAATTTAGAATTTTGCGTGATGAATTCACAAAATTAATGTTTTTCATAAAAATATCTTACAATGGACATTTTTTTAATTCTAAACTTACATTTAAGAAAACTCCATTCAATGCTATAATTACGAATTGGGTTTTCCAGTTCATAAAACATAAGCGTTAATTATGTACTTAACTATTGATATTATTCTTCATTAAGCATGAATAATGTGACCAACTATTTCATAGCTCAAAGAAGTACAGGTTAGGTTGGGTTATGTAAACGCCGAGAGCTGATTACGAAATTTCAAATGCGGCTAATTTCGATCCCTGAGAGCTCAGTGTTTGTTCCGAAGTGCGAGCCAAAATGCTTCCATCTTAGCCTCGCAAAGGTTGGACAGTCTAAAAGAAAGTATGGAGATGAGTCCACCTCATCTTCCTCTTGACAGCTGAAACAAAAGGATCAGACGAAATTTCTAGTCTCACCGCATGATTACGAATCGCACAATGGCCTGTCAGAACCCCCATCACTAGCCCTTGAGAGGTAACGTGTTTTAAAGTGCCCTGTTGGGTCACCGATTGGGAACCGCTGCATTTTAAACCATATGTTATTTTATATTTTATTATATGCTTACAATATTCAAGGTCAGGTATGCTTAGTTCATTCACCTCAATGCAATTAAAATTTGTGTTTGCTTTAAATATTGCCTTGACCTACTTAGTGATATTCTCCCACTATATTGTGTGCTTACATTTGCCTATATAGATATGTACATACATATCTACATATCTTCCCTATATTCATATTGTTCACTTGCATTTACATACATATACATACACATATGCTTCCGCTATGTTTCGCTTTGCAATAACATGTATAGTTGTTTGTACGCTTTCGCTATTTTAGTTTAACATATGTATGTAATTACAAAGCTTAATATATAAGCATGCCTACAGCAATGCTGCATTCCCATTTTTCATACCAAGTACAAATAGCGTTAAGTATATATTAGTGTCATCCACCTTTATGGAGTGCTAGAGTATATAATTATGTATGCATTAGGAAATATCAGATGTTAGGTATTAGACAATTATCGGTACTTATGTATTATTTGAAAATGGATTTAAAGAGAAGGATATGTCAAATAAATTTAGTCTAACAGCTGACCACCAAAGCGTTCGCATCTGCCCATCACCTGTGCTTGGCCTCCTTTTCGTCGTTGGATATTTTGCTTGACCATTTGCGCGGTTACAAAAAAGGCTTTGTAATCCTACATTTTTTGGCGCCCAACGTGGGGCACAGCACAACAGAGTAAGTTTTCATCGTTACACGCTTCGTATCATTTGGCTTTAGGTGGTCAGCGTTAGACCCCTCATCGCCAGTTTCGGACGTGCTGCTAGCCATTGCCAATCGCCATCGCTGCTTCATCGCTGTCTCCAAGCAACTCAGTCACCGCCGCTGCCAAGTCGTTGCTATTGCAAAGCTCGATCCCATCGCTGCTTTGGACATTGCTGCTGCTAAATAGTCTTCGCTTTGCACCTTGCCAATCACTGTCGTCTCGTAATAACATCGCTCCTGTCCAGCTATACATCGCTTCAGCTCCGCTATACATCGCTCACGGACATTGCCATTTTCCCATCGTCGTCACCGTCGGTACCTACCATTTGAATCACCGCCGCCGTTGCTTGGACAGCAGTAAAAAGCGCACACACGTATGTATGTATGCTCCTTGTTTTTGACCACCTTTTTGTTGATAGCTCGCCATTGCCACTGTCGCCCGTCAGTTACCTTTGCTCACCTGCACGTAAGTAATACCCTCAAATACGAGCCGCACAATTTGCCATTTGCGTTTTTATTATTGCCGACTGTATAATTTAATTGCCCTTGAAAATGTCCTTGGACGAATTAAAGCAGCAACGTGCTAATACAAAGAAAAACATCTTTAATTTTTTTGGAAAATATTTCTTCCCTGTTTGAATTGCCAGCAGTCTCGAAACCAAATGCCTTGCAATTGAGAAGTCTTATCGACAAGGCTTTGGCAATTTACGGGTCACTTCTGTCTTTGGGTAGTGATAGGCAAATCTCGCAAGCCATGCTAATTTATATAGTTTTGCAGAAATCAGATGAACAAACAAACAGGAAGTGGAAGGAGTCATTGGATTTTAAGACGCTGCCGACGTGGGATGACTGTGTGAAGGTGTTGGAGAGGAATTGCCAATATTTGGAATCGATGGACAATGCATCCGGTTTTCAGGGAAGAGCAAAGCCACCCCAAATAAGGCAAGAAATCAGGCCAAAGGTTACTCATTTTCTTGCTCCAGTACGCCGTGCTCTGTTTGTTCGAGCCCAGGTCACAAAGTTGCTAGCTGCGATCGGTTCAAAACCTTCAACACTAACCAGCGCTTCGAGCACGCAAAGAAAATGGGGCTCTGCATAAATTGCCTGTCCAAAGGGCATCAAATGGCTCAGTGCCCATCATCCCATAGATGCAAGGTTTGCTCAAAACAGCATCACAGCTTACTTCATCGTGGGTCTCCGCCAGCCCAACAAGCAACAAATTCTCTATCATCAGCACGCGATGCCGCAGTGCACACACACATGCAAAAATCGTCAGCAGACAACATAATCCTAGCAACCGCCAAGATTTTAGTTCGCGACTCGTCCGGTGGTTACAGATTAGGCAAAGCCCTACTGGACTCCTGCTCTCAGGTAAACTTCATTACTGAAGAATTTTCTCAAAAATTATCACTACCTAAAATCAAAGAAAATATTGAAATCCAAGGCATCGGTAAGTCGTCAACGAATATAAAATACAAAACCTCCACTAACATCAAATCGCAGTTTAAGGAATTTGAACTTCCGCTAACGCTTTGCATTACTCCTCACATTGCCTATCAGCCAGACCCAGAAATTGATGTTTCATCTTGGAATAACCCAAACAATATTGCCCTTGCTGGCGACGAATTTTTCGTAGCAAAGAAAATTGACCTATTGTTGGGTACGGAGACTTTCTTCAGCCTTTTGGCAGTCGGCCAAATTAAACTTGGAACAAATTTACCAATTTTGCAAAAAACTCTATTAGGATGGGTTGTATCGGGACGTTACCAATCAAGCAACAAGTTACCGCAATGTTCGTATTTATTTACAGCCAATGACTCGTTGGATGCCAAACTGGAGAAGCTGTGGAAAATTGAAGAAGTTGCCGTCAATGCAGAACCTTGGACTCGTGAACAAACCACTTGTGAGAATTTGTACAAAAGCATAGTTTCAAGGAATCCAGCTGGCAGAATAATTGTGAAGCTGCCCTTCAAAGATGATCCCTCTTGCCTAGGTGATTCGTATACCACAGCATTGAGACGTTTTAACTCACAAGAACGCCGCTTAGCAAAATCGCCACAGTTGAGAGAGCAATATGTGAGCTTTATGGATGAATACGAGGCCTGGGACACATGAGCGTCGTGCAGAATCCAAACCTCAGCGAACCGCATTATTATATCCCCCACCACTGTGTGTTGAAGCCCTCAAGTACAACAACAAAACTTCGTGTCGTCTTTGATGCTTCTTGCCGCACTACCACACAAAAATCTCTCAACGACATTCAAATGGTTGGCCCCACAATTCAAAGTGAGTTAATTATTCTACTTCTTCGTTTCCGCCTACACAAATTTGCGTTGACCGCCGATATAGTTAAAATGTACAGACAAGTACTAATGCATGAAAGCGATAGAAAGTTTCAGTATATTTTGTGGTTTGTATATTTTTTGTTAACGTTGTGCTTAATTTGCTATATTCAAAGATGGCTTGAGAAATTGGTGAATCGAGAAGAAAACACGTTTTCTCACTGCAAATTCACAACAGTCAACTCATTGCTTTTCGCCATATTCTTTGTTTACCCTTTGCCACAAATGTCATTCTGCGGGAATGCGCAATCTTGTATTCTATCGTTCTTGCATGTCTATATGATGTTTCAATTCGGTCTAAGTCAAACCAGGTTATTTGGACACACACATGTAAACACATTCTTAAATCGAATTGAAACTTTTAAGTATGCCACCATAAATCACATTTTGAATTCGAGTTAATATTATGTCCACACGGCAATGAAAACAAGTTGTTTATGACTCATTCGTGATATTACTCGAAAACATGTTAAAAGTACGTGTTTTCGCACTGCAAAAACTGTCAAACTTTATTATGAACCAATCATAATAACCTCGAAAACAGTTAAAATTTCGCTGTGTTTTCATAAGCATCTCTGTGTTCGATAACTTTTTGTCAAAACAAAATCGATGGTTTGCCGTCACTAGTTGAAAAAAAGAATAAGAACAATAATAAGAAAAAATCTGGATGGAGAAGAAAAAAAGAAATATTTATAAAAAGCGAACTGCTTGGTGCGCACAAAGCGAAGCTTTTCTTTTGGAGCTCTGGGAGGCTTTATTTCACTTGGAGCAATAGAGAAATGTCAACGAAAACGCGTTAGTAAACACGACGAATGCCGTTTGGACGGTTATGTTTAATATTGAAAACATCTCCTGAAAACAACTTGTTTTCATTGCCGTGTGGACATAATATAAGAGTTGCTGAATCGTGTTAAGAGTGCATATAAACACGGGATTTGACCACACGGTTGTTTCCTGCAACTCTGTATGAAGTAAAACATTTAAATAGTTCTTGAAATTACATTTAGGCTAAGCTTTGTTATAAAATTAATAGCTTATATAGCTGTTTGGGTCTTTAATTATTATTGAAGTGAAAACTTCTTTAGCGGCGGGAGTGATTTGAAACTCGATGAAACGAAAAACGTGACAACAGCAAAATCAATAGGCATTTGTACATTATTCGCCTTTAAGTGTATAGTTATGTATGTATGTATGTATGCTCATAGAATTCCAGCGAAGTCTCGAAGTGATTTTTTTTTTGTGCCTTTGACTTCCTTCACTTCCGAAGGTGCTGATGGCAGAGCTTGATTGCAACCCTTACAGTGCCAGATTATTCACGTGTATGTTGAGTTTTACAAAAATCGATGTGATTTATATTGGTTGGTCGTAGTATTATGTTNAGCAAAATCAATAGGCATTTGTACATTATTCGCCTTTAAGTGTATAGTTATGTATGTATGTATGTATGCTCATAGAATTCCAGCGAAGTCTCGAAGTGATTTTTTTTTTGTGCCTTTGACTTCCTTCACTTCCGAAGGTGCTGATGGCAGAGCTTGATTGCAACCCTTACAGTGCCAGATTATTCACGTGTATGTTGAGTTTTACAAAAATCGATGTGATTTATATTGGTTGGTCGTAGTCATTGCATCTGTGGTAGGGTGGAGGATGTCGTTGACAGAAATAATAGTATAGTTTGTACATTTATAATCGATAACGATAGATTAGACAATATAATATGAATTGAATCTGAACATTTCTGTGTATTCAACAATTTTTATTTAGCTCGAGGCCGTTTTTTAATGAAAACTTATTGTGGAAAAGCAACAATAATTTGAAAAAATGGTAGAAGTGATAGCTATTTCGGAAATCACCACATTTCCCCATCAGACTTCTTTTAGTAGGATTCGAACCGACGATCCCACTGACTCAGCCAGCTGCCTACGCACTGTGCTTAAGGACGAGCACACCTAAAAAGATAAACACAATGGCCCGTAGTCATAGTCAAAATAAAGTCGACTTTAAAGTTAGTTGCAGCTTTTTGACATAATTTTCAATGGGGTATCTGTCAAAAAAGCTGCAACTAACTTTAAAGTCGACTTTATTTTGACTATGACTACGGGCCTCTAATACTAGAAATATTAACAAAAACCAACAACCACATGATCAAGTGAATTGCAGCGGAATAGCTGCGCTTGATTGTGGTGGCATAACAAAAATGAAAATAGTGGAAAAAAGCAAACGATAATTTACAAGGCGTACTTAGCACGGTGCATAGGCAACTGGCTGAGTCAGTGGGATCGTCGGTTCGAATCCTACTGAAAGAAGTCTGATGAGGAAATGTGGTGATTTCCGAAATAGCTATCACTTCTACCATTTTTTCAAATTATTGTTGCTTTTCCACAATAAATTTTCATTTAAAAAATGGCCTCGAGCTCATTATAAAATTGTTGAATATAATTGTTAAAAGGCCAAAAAATAACAAAAAACAAATAACTTAAGGACGAGCACACCTAAAAGTTAAGCATTCTAAAAATAGAATTATTAGCACAAACCAACAAAACCAACAACCACATGATCAAGTGAATTGCAGCGGAATAGCTGCGCTTAATTGTAGTTGGCTTAACAAGTGAAATCATGGTGGAATAATAACCCGGTGTTGTCAGTTGTGATTTTGACAAGATCGGCATGCTTATTTCCAGTGCTGCCGATCTTAATTTTTATACTACTAATCGTTGGGAAATAGTATTTAAAATACTCCATTTTAGTAATTCGTATTATCGCGATTTTTAAAGAACTTGGTGTTTTCAGAACAATATAAATATTTAAAATTGCTGGATTTGTATAATTTTTGTCCGCAAAAAGTAAAAAATAAAAGATATCGTGGTTATCAATGGAAAAAACGTACACAAAAATCGTATGGAAAGGCGATTTTTTATATTAAATAACTTTTGCTGCATTGTCATAATTATTATTTTTTGTTTAATTAATTAGTCCCAACGGATTTTTACCCTCCATTCCCGCCCAACCGACACGAGGGGCGCAGTCCGCATGACGTACGGAACATTTTTTTTTAGTTTTTTGGTGCCGAGTAGTGGAAAGAGGAGTTTGTTAAGTGTCGAGATCTAAAACTATTCAGCTACAGAATCAAATTCATCAGCTGATTGGATATGCTAAAGATAGTATTTCAATTATTGAGAGTGGAAATAATAGTTTTCTTTATAGTAAAAATCGAGTCCGATACGTCAAACGTGCTGGAATGACAGTTAAAATCTTGACATAAACCACGGAATGATTCGTTTAGTTCAAAATTAGTTTTGCATGGCTTTAAAAATAGAGGTCGAAAGTGTCTTGACA